TCACTCTCACGCTCACACACACACGCTCACACACTCATACCCCTCAACTCATTCACGCATTGGCAGGAGCGCGCCATTGAGGAGGAGTTTCGGCTGAATGGCAAGGATGTGTTCTTGTTCTGTGATCACGACACCGCAGAGGAGTGCGCCCAGCAGTCTGTCTCTGGCATGCCCTGCGACAGGCTTCACTTTCGTCGCGTCATTCAACCCCACACAACCCGTGAGGGCACGTGGCGTTTGCATGTACTGGGCACCACCCTGTGTGCACGGCTGCAAGCGTGTGTGTGCATGGCTGCAAGCGTGTGTGTGCATGCGCGTGTGCGCGCGTGTTTGTGTGTGGAGCATGCGGTTGGAACTGCATAGGTGCGATTGTGTCTGTGCAGTGCCATCAGCATCGGCTTCCGCTGCCGCTTGCTCTCCCTCACAGCCACACACACACACACACACACACACACACACACACACACACACACACACACACACACACACGCATACACTCACTCACTCACACATTCGGGTAGATCGGTACGGGAACTGCCGATACCTGGATCGCTGCTTTGACATGCGTACATGCAAGGCCGTCCACTACGATGTGGATGAGAGCGACGTCGAGTGCATTCGCAGGCGGCTCAAGCACAAGAGAGAGCTCGCAAGGCAGGTGGGCAGGCAAGGAGACGCAGTGCACGCGCATGCGTGTGGTCGCTGTGGTTGTGATCACTGTGCTGGTTGCAGCTGCCGTTGCAGTAGCTGTTGATGTGTTGCTCATCGTGCACGTTGGGGACGTGCATGCGCGTGTTCCCGGCAGCTGCGTGACAACCCCTCCCCCGATCCATTCCTATTCATACGAGCATGTGTACATGGCACCACCCAAATATCGCCTCTGTTAAGCGGCCGGATCTGGAAGCCCATATCGACCTGAACGTGTTCCGCACGTTTCCCGCGCAGGTTGGTGAGCTGCACACACACACACACACACACGCACGCACACACAAACACACACACACACAGACACACACACATACACACACACATACACAGAAACAGAGAGTGTGTGTCTGTGTATGTGTGCGTGCATGCATGCACATGCATGCAAGTTCCTATGACGGACACGATTGCCTGCATGCACTCATCTCCGCCCATCCTCTCCACCCCTACCCCAATTCAGTGGATCCAGTGTGATGTTCGTTACATCGACTTCAGTGTCTTGGGCAAATTCAGGTGCGGGCGCATGGCAGTATTGAAAGGTGTTTCGGTGGTAGGGTTTCTGGTGTTTCGTGCCGCACTCACCACCCACACGACTTGCTTAGTTTCCCATCACGCGTGCAAGCAAACACACGTTGACACACATGTGTGGAAGCGGTCCCGCACACATGCACAGTACCATTCACACAACACGACACAACACAACACGACACGACACAACGCACGCCGCGTTTGCCTTTTGCTTCCGTGCAGCGTGATTATGGCGGACCCTCCGTGGCGCATCAACATGGAGCTGCCATATGGGACCATGAGCGACGAGGAGATGAGGCAATTGCCCGTGCAAGACCTGCAGGTGCTGATCACCACCGGTGCAGCGATGCACGTGCTTGGGAGGGTGAAGATGGCGGTTGCGGTGGTAGCTGCAGAGCGTGCGCGCGTGTGCGAGTGAGTGTGTTTGTGCGAACGTGTATGAATGTGTGTGAGTGTGCGTGTGTATGAATGTGAGTGAGTGAGTGTGAGTGAGTGTGCGTGTTGTATGGCGTGCACGTATTTGTGCAAGGCACGCTTTCTCTCTCCGCACTTTGGTCTCTGGCATCACACGCTACGGTCCGCAAACACACTGACACAACAACACAACAACACACACATGCACACCACGTACATGTGCACACACGTGTGCATCTGTGCCCGCTCGCGTCATTGCGTGTCAGGACAACGGTGTGATCTTCCTGTGGGTGACAGCGCGCTGCGTTGATCTTGGACGGGAGCTGCTTAAGGTTGGTTGTTGCGTGTATGGTCATGCTGACATTGTGGACAGGGGACTATGTCTCAAGTGTGGGTGGCGTGAAGTGTTACACACACACACACATGCACATAGTGCTCAGACTGCGTGCACTCATATGTGTGTATGTGTGTGTGTGTGTCTCAGCGATGGGGATACAACTACGCCAATGATCTCATCTGGATCAAAATTAACCAACTGCAAAATCTAGTACGCACCGGCCGCACAGGTGCGCTCGTGTGTGTGTGTGTGTGTGTGTGTGTGTGTGTGTGTGTGTGTGTGTGTGTGTGTGTGTGTGTGTGTGTGTGTGTGTGCGTGTGTGTGTGTGCGCGTGCGCGTGTCTTTTTGTGCAATGCTACATATGCACGCTTCTGTTTGCACAATCACCCGCGTAACGCATCCTTCCCCCCTCACTCACACACACGCACATGTTTCAGGCCACTGGATGAACCATGCTAAGGAGCACTGCATGATTGGGGTCAAGGGCAATCTTGACGGCATCTACCCAGGCATCGACTGCGACGTGCTGGGTGAGTTGCAGTTTGGAGATGAAGGCAGACGCTGTGTGTTTTGGGTGTTTTGGTGTCTTGTGCTGCTATTGCATTGTGCTGTTGTTTTTGGGGCGTGCGGTTTGCTGCTGGTGGTTTCTCCGCCTCATCCTCTGGTCCGTCATATCCAAACACCAATGCTCAACACACACACACACACACACACACACACACACACACACGCACGCACACACATGCGTGCACACGCACACACGCATGAAAACATACCGCCACCACAACCATCCTCTCCCGTTGCAGTGTCTGAGGTGCGGGACACGAGCCGCAAGCCGGACGAGATCTATGGGCTCATTGAGCGCCTCTCACCGGGCACGCGCAAGATTGAGCTGTTTGGGCGTCCACACAACGTGCAGAGCAACTGGCTCACACTCGGCGACCAGCTCCAGGTGCCCTTGTGTGTGTGTGTGTTTGTGTGTGTGTTTGTGTGTGTGTGTGTGTGTGTGCGTGTGTTTGTGTGTGCTTGTGTTTGTGCGTGTGTGTGTGTGTGTGTTTTGTGTGTGTTTGTGTTTGTGCGTGTGTGTGTGTGTTTTGTGTGTGTGTTCACTCATGATGTGCTCTTGTCTCATGTTGTTGAAGCATGCTTGTCGCTGTGCTGTTCAGCCTGCACAACGTTGTCCCGTTTCTTGTTGCGGTCTGACACACACACACACACATACATACACGCGCGCGCACACGCGCCCACACACACGCGCATACACGCGCACACAGGGTGTGCAACTGGAGGACGACGCACTGGTTCAACGGTTCACAGAGCGGTATCCATACTCCCCCGCTGACACGCTGTCGCTGCTGCTGCAGAACAAGCTGCCCTCCTCAAGCACAGCACACAAGGCCCGCGGCGAGGAGCACAGCGACGTGGACACGAGCGCAGGGCCACGCGCACGCCAGCAGTCGCACCGTCACCAACACAACCATCGTCACCAACATCACCTCGACGATTCACACAATCGCCATTCACAAGCCCATCATCACCAGGAGCGACCCAGCAGCCGCCACCGGCCCAGTCACCAGCACCGCCATCATGATGATGGCGGTGGTGACGATAGTGCTGAGCGCGCTTCTCGGTCCGGGCGGGCGCGAACGCCGTTGCGGACAGTGCACACACAGCGGCGGCGTGACAGCAGCGAAGGGCGAGATGAGCCCGTGGCAGTGAGGGGGCGGAGCAGGAGCGTGGGTCGGGATGCGCTGCAGGCGTATGGGGGAGGCAGGAGTGCAAGTGTAAGCGGAGGCCACAGCAAGGCGGATGAGTTGATGCACACGTATGGACACCACGGTCCTCGCCGCCACGACCGCCAACACCAGCATCAGTTTCGCTCTTCGCCCCGACAGCAGCAGCTGCAGCATGTTTATTACCAGCAGAGGAAGCCAGGGAGCATACCTGAGTCAAGGAGCATGTCAGTGGACCGCACTACCAGTCATGGCAGCAGCCGTGGTAGTGGTGATGGCAATGACACGGGGCACAACGCCAGTGCCGGCAACAGACCCGTGTTTGTGCCGAGGTCGAACGCCGTGGAAGGCGAGGTGGTGCTGAACTTGCGTGGGCACTCTGGATACTGGAAGCGGGATAGGCACGGGTCCAAGATCTTCATCCGCGTGCTACCAAAGCGGAAGGACGATGATGATGATGATGGCGGTGATGATGGTGGTGCCGGTGATGATGGTGGTGATGATGTTGATGGCGGTGGTGGTGGGGTTGACGGTGGTGATGGTGACACACCGCTGGTACCACCAGCGCAGCAGTCACCTCTCGCTGCCTCTGTGGCACCCCATACTGGCTCCGTGACACCACCAACCCCTCAAACACGCCAGACAGTATCACCAACACCACCACAAACGGGGGTGCATGCGGATGCAACGACAACTGCACCAAGTGCAGCACCAACAGCTGCAAACACAACGGCGACACCTGCGACGCTGCCTGCGTCTTGGAGTGCAGCAGACCTGTGGGGTGACAAGGTGGAGTGAATATGCTTAGCAGACACACAAACGGAGACAAGCAAGCGAGGCCACAGACGCAGGAGCAACGCAGACACGCACTTCTCGCTTGCATCCCATGTCGTCATTTGGCATTCCACATCCCAAGGCCTTGACAGTCTTATGGTAGCGTATGCAGGATCGTATGACGATCATTACTTGAAAACATAAACAACAAACGTTCGTCTGTGTTTTCGAACTTGACATTCCAAACGTGGTCGCGACAAAGACCACGACCAACCTCAAAAAAGTCGTTGCCTGACCGAGGTTGAGAGAGTTCAGTCAGGCAACAAGACGGCAACAACAAGCAAGCGACAAGAGGGCAAACAATCGCACGGCAGACGTGGTGGTGAAGAAAGGCGATATCTCCCAAGGACAGCCACCCACACCACACCACACCACAGTCCTCGACCACACTACAACGCCCCTTGCCCCTGCTTGCACCCTGTTTTGTGTGAGCACAGGTGATGGAAAGCATTGTTGGGCTGAATGTAGGTGGAAGAACAACAACAGCCATGACAACCACACGGCAAGACCTGGACCAGCGAAGGCGGTCCAGCCCGCTCTCGGGTTCAAGTCGTCACGCAAGCAAACGCACATCCGTGCAAGAGGAGCAACAGCAACAACAGCGGCAACAGCAACAGCAGCGGCAACAGCTCAAGGCACACGCAGCGTCACCAACACGCCTGCCCGCACTGCTGGAAACCATGCTTGAGATGGAAGACACAGCGGAAGGCAGCAGCAACCCCAGCAACACCAGCACAGATCTCTTGCGCAAGAAGCGCGACAGCTTGGAGCCGCGCACCACGGGTTCTTACACCATCCAGTTCTGCCTCGAAGAAGAAGAAGAAGAGGACGATGACAATGATGACGATGATGACGATGACAACGACGATGACGGCGGCGGCGACCATGATAGTGGTGAGGGAGAGGTCATGCGTACCCCAACCAGCAGGGCAGCACATAGTAGAATGCACAGCAGCACCAACAGCAGCACCAACGCCAGCTTGGTGTACACATGTGAGCAGCAGCAGCAGCGACAGAGTGAGGCTGATGCACCCACGGCACACACGTTTGTTGGTGTTGTGCTCGAGGAGAACATGTCTGGTGCCAGTGACACCGGTGACCACGCACAGCCTCAACTGCGCAACGAAGGGCATGATACCACGCCCGCACACAATCTCAGAGCTAAAGCTGCACGTAAGTCCACTTTGGGCAGAGGCGGGGAGGGGTAGCTTGACACGTGCACTGTGTCAGGGCGTGTGCTGTAAGCGAACAAGCAACAGCACACTTGCTTCCACAAACACACAACATAATACTTGCGCACTCACACATGCCCCTGCTGTTCTGGTGTGCTTCAACCACACACACACACACACACACACACTCACTCACTCACACACACACACATGCACACACATGCACACACACACATGCACATATGCACACACACACACAGTGCGGGCACCTGCTCCACCACCACCGAGGACACCACCAATAGCACAGCAGCAACAGCAGCAGCAGCAGCCGGCGATACAAGCTGGCAAAGAAAAGGGGCCGTCAACCACACCAACAGGGCCACCCTCAGTGTCAACACCAAGCCCGGGGCTGACGCTGCTTCATCGGCGTGTGCTTGCAGCCCAGGATGCAAGCAGCCGTGCGAGCTCCTCGACCTCGCTTGGGTCAACGAGCACACGCAGCTCGCTTCCTGCCGGCAACGAGCATGATCTCCCGCATGCCGCACAGCAGCAGTGGGCCCTCTTCTTGGAACCGCCAAGGCCGGCGGCACACGACACCAGCTTGCCTGCAGGCACACAGAGCACGTCTTCCACAAGCCAACCGTCGTCACCACATTCGCCACACTCGCCGCACTCGCCGCACTCGCCGCACTCGCCGCACTCGCCGGCTTGGAGCCCCCGTTCTGCACCACGCCATTCGCAGCACCAGCACCAAGACCTTGCCTCGCCATCGGCCGCCATCACCGCTCAGCCCCATCTGCTTGCACATCGACAGCAATACAGCAAGCCTGCAAGCAACGACACCTTTCGTCCACGAAGCGCCAGTATGGCCTCGCAAAAGGTGAAGGGTTTCCACTTGCTCGCTTCTCCATTCTGTCATCCACAATGTCTCTCGTTCACAGGTTTCTTCGACTTACACAAGCTCACACGTGTCCGTTCGCTCTTTCTGCGCGGGCTCATGTGTGTGCTTTCATGTCAATACCAGGATCTGGTCAAGCGTGCCATCTCCTATCTTGCCAGAAATGGCGCCAACTCGAGGGAAGGCATCGCGTTCACAGAATCGCTCATTCTCGCACACCGACACCTCAACTTCTCGTCCGGTACGCAGTAGAGTTTGGGGTGGTTGTATTGGGGCAGGGGATGGGGAAGAAAGCACGAGACAGAAGCGTGTGCGTGTGTGTACGTGTGTGTATGCGTGTGTGTGTGTCTGTGCGTATGTGTGTGTGTGTGTGTGCGTATGTGTGTGTGCTTCATTCATTGGAAGAAGAGAGAGAGAGATAGGATAAAGAAAAGAAGCAAGGTTGGGTACGTGCCATGCCACAGCTCTCTCTGTGCACAACCTCTTGTGTGTCTGTCTCATTCGCGCGCACGTTGTTGTTTTCTGTCGTACAGAGGCAATGATGAAGGAGCTCCTCAGCATCTACAACATGAGCGACATCGACAACAACTTGTCCAAGGAAGAGGGCAACGCGCTCAAGTCCGCGGTTATCGCCTTTCTTCGCATCTGGTTCGTGCATGCGTGATCGTATGCATGTATGCTTGCGTGTGTGTCTGCGTGAGTGCGTGCATGCGTGTTCATATGCGTTTGTGCTGTCTCCATGTGTACACTGGTGCCTTCAGACGCATATGCACTTCTCATGCATGCCCACCGCCCCCTTTACAAGCTCACACAAGTACACGCTCTTTTTCCTGCTCCAGGTGGCGGCATCAAGCGTGCATGTCCTCAACGGTTCGCAAG